CTTTTACAACAAAGTCAGGTCAGTGGTTATCTCAGGCGGCGCTAAGATATACGTTCTCCATTGGAACCTGATTAATATCCTTCCATGAGATTATATCCTCATAATATTCCATGAGATAATATTAAGATTAATATCCTTCCATGAGAGTAAAAAATTTATCAAGATGCATGAAGGCTTCATTCATATTTTTTATTGTCAAAGTCTAAATGTCTTTATCAGCTTTTTCTTCCTCACTTTCATTGTGTATTTCATTGTCGTTCAATGAAGTATTCATTTGACAAAAGTGCTGAGCGAGATTCAATAAAATCATTAACATTGTCATTGTTGCAGTTCAAGTTTAGTTCATTCATTTACACTATTTTATGTTACAGCTTCGGATGTTTCTTCAAAATTTACGAAATCACTCATGATTTCTGGACATAATTTCTTCCAGGAACCTTTTATTGTCAACTCTTTTTTTATTTCAGTCCATGAATCTCAAATATTGTTTATTGCGTTTCATATATTAGAGTTCTTCCCCAAATCTGTTAATGTTGGCCCATCTTCCGTGACAGCTGCCTTGATGATCTTAGTCATTATTGTTCTCATATAAAACCGCTTAAACGTAGCAATTACTGTTTGGTCCATGAGCTGTAATCGGCAGGTAGTACTGGGAGGAAAAACCCAATATTGATTTCGGATATAAATTCTGCAAAGATTTTTGGTACCCTCGGCCATTGTCTAAGATTAACAATGCTTTAAATTGTAAATTATTATATTTACAATATTGCTTAGTTGTCGACACAAAATAATAAGTTAACCAATCATAAAATATTAATGCAGTAGCCCAAGCATTTTTCTTTGATACCCAAATGAGTAGAAGCAATTCTTTACACTTTTCTTTCAAAGCTCTGGGATTTTCCGCTTTGTTAACGAAAAATGGCTTCAGTTTTTAAATTACACGCTAAGTTTTCGCTAAAAAGCAATGTCAGTCGGTTTTTGCAAGTTTTATGTCCAAAAGCAACTGGTTTTCCCATCGAAAAAAATGTATGATAAGACATCCCCCCCCCACAATAAACCCGTCTCATCTACATTGGAAATTTGACTAAAAGAATATTCTCCGTCTACAATAATTTTGGACAACGAGGAAATAAATCCTTTCGCAGCATCTTTAACTGCATCAGCCGATTCTCCATTGAATTTAATATTATGTAAAGAATACCTCATTTTAAATTTGTCAAACCAACCATTACTTGCTTTAAACACCATGTTTGAATCTGCATTTAATCTAGTCTTCCAAGCTTCATGCAAACTAAAAGCCTTAGCTTGAATAATTGAAAAACTTATAGGGACATTATTTTGATGTTGATCATCAATCTATTTCCCCTATCACTGTGCAGTGTCTTTTGGAAACAACCTTATATTTCCACAATTTTGAACGTATTTCTTAATTTTTTTATTTAATTCATTTCTGCAACCGTGTTTAAAGAGCTTAGGAAAATTAACAAAGGAAGATTTCGCAAAGGAATTTTAAAATTTCACAGTGAATTTGATTTTTTATAAATTTGAATACTATGCAACATTGATTCATTAAAGTGAAGTCTTTGCCATAATCCGGAGGAAGAAAAACTGATTTTAAAGGAAAATATAACTTCGTGGAATTCTATTTGTTTAGATAGACCTCATGTTCTTTGCCATACTCAAACAAATAAACTTCTATTAGAAATTTGAACCTGAAGAACATGGAAAGCCAATATCTGAAGAGTCAGTCAATGTATTTAAAAACTCCAGATAATTGTGCTGCCTTTTACTGAAGGACAAACAAATATTTCTTTTAATGTAATAGGTGCAGTTTTATATTTTTGGTATTTTTTATTTTATTTTAACGAATGTTGTAAATTTATGTACTTGTAAAATGAAATCATTTTTTTGCCCGTAATACAATATAAAATACGATTTTTATCGAAAAAATTATGTAGTGGAATTACTTCTATTTTATGCGGTTAATTTCCATTTGAACTGAAGTAAATAAATGAAATTAAGTTTTAAATGTGTAGATTCTAAAATGAAAGACATAAACGTGTTTTATATTTACTGTGATACAAGTAAATAAAAAACAAATTTTTATGTTAAGGAAATAATAATCTATTTCTCTTTAATTAAAAGTATACTACGAAAATTTAATTCTTTAATTCCCGTCTAATAATCAAATAATAAAGTCAATATTAAAATGTGTATTAACACCTTTTTGGAACTTTACAATTTGAAAAATTTCTGATTTTAGTAAAGAAAAAATCAGATGTATACTTTAAAGAAAGTCCACCTGTATAGCATCAGAGTCCTGCCATCAGATTTTAATATCTGAAACTAACCTCATAATTGCTCCCTGTAATATTTTTATTCCCTTTCAAATTCTTATTTTTGAAGTATTTGAATCCCATTATACGGAAGTGCCTGACTCGGCCAAAAACGGTATGTCTCTATGTTGTACAGATTCATCTAGATTAAATTAACAATTTTTTAAAAGTATGCATTGTAAAATATCATATCTTCATATTATTATTAAATCTTAAGCAAAAAACTGGAATCGTATAAAAACAAAATTAACTTCAGATCACATATATAAATAATCCACGTAATTTGAACTTCGGATATCTTATTTTGAGTACCTGGAACTCCTCTCTGTTCATAATTACGTTAAACGAGAAGATTTACAAGAAATCGTATATCTCATGTTATCATTATCTCATCTTTACATTAAAACATTTCTGATTACTCATCTTTGCTCTGTAAAATCATATTAAAATAATTCCAAGTAAGCAAGTTAAAAAAAGGTTTCTGATTTCATTCTATAACTGCAAAAATTTCTGAATAGCAAAGAATCTTCCCTGATTTTCTACTGGTTCTACAAAGTTCATACATGTCTGTATTTATCTTGATGACAATCGTTTCATTCGATGACATCGTGCATTAAAAATATGCAAAATTTTTTAAAATTGCATATTCCCTCAGAGTAGAACCCAACAAACCTCAGAGTCATAATATTGATCGAAACTTCTTTATTGGCTTTCAAACATTAAGTTGGCTGAAGAACGGTAAAGAACATGTTGAAACCTCACCGGCTTACCAAGCAAACTCGGAAGAACCTCTGCTTAGTTAGTTGAAACTCCAGTAATTCACAGGAACCTCAAAGCTCTAAACGTGAGCTTTAAAATCCTAACAAATTTGTGTCTGCGCCACTCCTCGGTACAAAGAAAGAAATACAATTTGCATAATATTGAACAATAACTTTATACGGATAAACAGAAAAATACAGTTCCCACATTTCATCGAGGTAATTACATATTTAGCCAGCAGATAACACACAAAATACTTTCCTGCAATGCATTTTCCCATATTGTGATTAGATGCAAAATTTGCTGTTGAACTGTGAAGATGAACTGTGCAATTTTCAGAAGCTTAGAACGACATTTTATCAACTTTTAAAGTTCTGACGCACTCAACCATTTTTCTTAAACCAGCTTCTAAGCTGAGAATCTTTTTAGACTGCAATACTGGTTAAAACATTTGTTGCCATTAATTAATAATTTCTTTATTTTTCATGTATTCAACAGATAATTCCATTTTTGCACATGAAAAGTTTTCAAGTTTCACATGTTTGAAACTGGAAAACTTAAATATTGAATTCATATGTCTAGATATATTAAGTAACCACTGTACAGAGTTTTAAATATTTTTTCACTTCCGAACGTTCATCCTGTCTCTATTGAAGAAGATGTTTAGTTTTCAATTGCTTAAAAGCCAATTATTAAAAAAAATTAAAATCCACATGTACAATTTCTTAACATTCGTTCTAGTTTTGGAAATTTCTCCGAAACCTTAATATTATCTTTGAAAATGAGGACTTGAAAAATTATGCATATTAACTCCAGATGAAAGCAGTCTAAGGACTTTTCAAAGATATGGATCTCGACACATAATAAACTTGAATGAAGACACTGCTGCATGATGTTAAGATATAAAGCAATATTTCTCAAGAAGAACTTTCACCTTCGAAGAGGAAACACAATGAGAGTTTAAGGAAAGGGAGATGAAATCACAGCTAAAGAGGTATTGCTATACCTACGCTCATCAAATTTCAAGCTTATATTCTGATAAAATCTTCATTCCATACCACTGAAATATTTTCATACATGATATAATTTATTTGTGGACATGTTTTTTCAAAGAAAATGTATTCTGTAGTTAATTTATATTTGATGTTGTATAATTAATAATAACTACATTTTAGTACATTTTTGAATACTGATCCACAGTAATTAGATTATGCTATACAACTTAGAAACAAACTTTCTTCTCCTATCTTTGTTGCATATTTAAATTTGATAATTTTGACATTTATTGGATTCATTAACAAATGCATAAATCCAATATTTTAAATATTGTTTGGTAATTGCGCAGAAATAATATGCTAATCCTCCCTACTAATTTGCAGTTAGATAAAAAGTATAGTTCTTAAATTATTAAAACTATTTCATGTTGCATACATAGCAACCACTGGGAGGGGGGGATAAATAAATATATTTATCCAAAAATAAATATTTTGCATTTAAAAATGGTATCTATGTTAATTACAAATTTTATTTAATATAATATGATCAAGAAAAGGTCAGTCAGAAGACATCATGCAATATCCAGCAAATCAAATTTTTGTCAAAAATATGACAAATCAACCCAGAAATATCAGTGTTATATTCTTGAAGTAAAAACATATAACAATCAAAAATCAAAATTCACTATGAAGACACACAATCTAATTTATGAAAATGAATAATTCATCAAAGTAAATCCTATTTTTATAATACACTTCCTGTTTTAGCCTACAGTTTCCATCTTACTAGAACAAATTTAATTTTTAGGAGTTTCTGCTAACAATGCTTTATTTTTAATAATTTTTATTTTGTGCATAAATTGTTTTTGTAATATAAAGATCACACATTTTAATTCAAGAAGATAAAACATTAAATACAATTAAACAAATTATTTTATTCCTAGCTGATATAAATAGAAACTTACAAAATATAAGCAAAACATTCTGGAGTAATTTAAATAACCTAAAAATAAATTATACCAGATTATATATATCAATGAAAATTATATATACAAATGTCCTGAAACAATGACATAAATGGAATTCAAACAAATAAGTAAAACTGTTTTCAATGCTAGAATATTTATCACACAAGCACATTATTCCTGATTACCATACATGAATTAAATTATTTAGCAAATATTGTTCATACTGTTCCCCCTTCCCCACAAATAAGACATTCAGTTAAATATTTTTAACATTTTTCATCTTAATAAGCTGCTTGTGAAATCAGAATGTTCAGTCATAAGCAACTGAAAATTTTCAATAATAATAAATAGTCAACATTCTATACATACTATTAATATACAAAATTCAACACGTAACCACACTTGAAAACACAATTTATATAACAAATTATGATTAAGCATCAGATGAAATAATGAACACGATGAATTCTTTTACAACAGTAATTTGCTTTTACACATAATGAAATAAATTTAATGCATTTTCATTTTTAGGAATATTAGCATAAACTAATCTAGTAATAAATATGATACAATTTTGGCATTGATATACTAAATAAGGATAACAATAATCTGACTGATATACTAATTGAAGACTAAAAAAATTAGAATGCATAAAGCATGTCCCATTAAGATTCCAAATCACTACACTGACACTAAAATTGGCAAAATATTAACTGTTAATTCTACAAAGTATTTAGGAGGGAATAGAAGCAGTATTTATTTATTTATTTATTCTGATTAGAGAAGACATACTTAAAGAAAGAAGCAGTTAATGAATTTTAAATATATTATTCATTAAAGAAAACTCAAATATTAATTAGATCTTTTGTTCAATGGATGCAAAAATTATAAACCAGCAGAAAAAAGTGATGAATGAAAAGACACAGAAATATGAGAGAGGATGTTTCATTTCAATGTTGCTTTTAATATTACATTTTTCATAACACATTTGCAAAATTTCTAACGTAAGAAGAAAAATTTTCATGTACTTTTCTGAAGAAGAGCATTATTTCTTCACTTCAGAAATATTATCTATATAAACAAATTGTAATTTTTTATTCAAATACTTTTGAAAAAAAATTAATTAAACATATGAAATTCATAAAGAATATGAGAATACATTTACATTTTTTTTTTTTAATTTAATGTGTTTACTTACTACTTTAAATAGAAATACATGCTCACATTCAGAAAATTTTTTAAATGTCAGTTTTATGCAATGTAACATATTAATATTTACACAGACTAGCTTTTACAAGTAATAAACCTAACAAGATTCATCTGGAATAAATATTATCAATTTAATTATTTAAAACTAATCTGTAGCTGCCACAACAGAAATAGTTTTCCCTTTTGGGTCATCAAATCGGTCCATGGTGTGTACAGAAAATAGAGCATAGATGCCACAATTTATTATAGTTATAAATAATATTGATACAAAAACTCCCATCCATATAGGGATACTAAAAAATGGAACACAATCAAAACTATCACTGAACTTGTTGTTTGTTGTGAATGGTTGCACCTAAATAAATAAATGAGTATGTTATTAAAATACAAATACATATAACTATAAAAATTAATCTATTTATTCTTTTACAACAGTAATTTGCTTTTATAACACAAGCTTCATAAAATAATAAAGAACCAGAGTCTAATAACCACACACTATACCATTAAAAAAAACTCGCATAATGAATGTCAATATAAGCATGGATTACAATTAGGAAATGATCCAGTACGTTGAATTTCATATTTCACAAAAGGCTACATATAATATTTAATTTGCCACAACTGATAATTCAGATACTTTCAAACAGCAAAAAAATTATGCTGAATATTAAGCTATAGAAGCTGATAATATTATTTCTTTAATTTCATTTTTTTCCATAATAAGAGACTGTCCTTAAAGCAGAACCTTTATATCTTACTCGGAGTTTTGAATATTATGAAGTTTTTCAGGGAAGTTTCATGGTACTAAAAAATATCTAAAAATACATAACTTTACATAATATTATTAATAAACTTTTCTTTTTGAGTTATCAGTAACCTTAAATACAGATAAACACTCAACATTTTCGCCTTTAAATCATTATTTGAAACAAATAAATGAAATAATGAAAGAACCTGATGTTCCAAATATAAAATTTTAAATTGGACAAACTAATAACACAATATCAGTTAGCTTTTTGTCATCAACTGTACTTAAATGAAACTTCACATACTGATTTTATTTCTTTACAGCAAACTGTCTTTGTGAATAAGAGTTTAAAAAAAAAAAAAAAAAAAAAAAAAAAAAAAAAAAAAAAAAGCAAGCTATTATTTGTCTACATTCTTTATATTTTCATATCAAAACATAGTTTCATATCAACTACAGCAATTTTACCCTCAATGAAGAAGAAAGGGGGCAGGAAAACAAGGTGTTGGTGTACTTAATTACGGCAAAGCTCACTGGGGCTATCTGCCTAAGGGGAGGGATGCCTTCGTGGAGGACTTTCTAAGGGAAACTGGCTCGTATACACGTTACACATGGGGAAAACCACGAAAACGCCCATGCAGCCAGCCCGTTCGCAGGATTCGAACCTCGGGCCGAACTACCAGTGTTCAGCGACGTTACCGCTCGGCCGCTGGTGGGCCTCGCAGGAAAACAAGGAATCAATACTTATAGACTACACACATCACTTTCAATGGTATTTGACCAGACTTTTTTAGTAAAAAAATAGCTACTTTTATTTATTTTGTAAGTTTAAGTTAAAAATTTTAAATCCTATATTCAAATTCACAACTCTTTTCTAAAAGATTTTTATATTCTGTCACTCACATTTTAGCTGAGAGATGCACATTTAAAAAAACTGCAATGCTTGAAAAAATATACAATACAGTTTATTCCTCTGGCATAAAATTAATCATTACATATCTGATATTGACAAACAAAAATGAAATATTATCTTAAAATATCATACTGAACATTTTCAGCTGGTTGAAACAGAGTGCTAAATATTCTAAAATTTACCGCACACAATATTAAACTAATCTTCGGGAACCAGAAGAATAAAGATAGCAATAACAACAGACATGAAAATTTAATGAAACCTTAAATTAGCATATTATAATTTTCATATAAACTGACAAACATATTTTAGTACACTTAGATAATGGAAGCCATATTGAAACGTTACCTGGAAACGTTCTATTGAAATATATACAGTTTCAGTTGCATTAGCTTTTAAACTAAGTTTACCACAGCTGTATGAAAAACCTGTAGGTGCTTCCAATTGAGAGGTAAAAAGTAAAACCTCCCCCTGTGGTCCTTTACCTCCAGTAATGTCAATGGTACCACTAGTCACCCAAGACCCTCCTCCTTTGAGTGAAAATGTTAATCTGTGAGAGAAAGTTTGAATTCAAAACCAAACTTAACTTTTCTGAAACAGCATCAAAAACATGCTATCTACAATAAAACCAAGTAATTATAATTACAAATGAATTCAATTAAAAAGTCTTAAAATTTTCCTAATTGTTAAGAAGTGATCTTATTTAGTTATTTTTATTTTTAATCTACATCCTTTATTTCAGATAAGACTTGAATCAACTAGTATTAGCACATGTAAAACGATGAAAAATTGCATTTGTAAACTATCTGTTTCCCTAAATGACATTGTTTATACATCTGAAATGCATATTGATTACAAATGACAAACACTTAGTAAGAAATGGTGGGAAATTTGTGACTACCATTACTACTACTAATAAATAAATGGTTTTTTTTTTTTTTTTTTTTTTTTTTTTTTTTTTTTTTAAGTTAGAAAAGTGAATATGTTAAAGCTAAATACAATTTGTGTTTGCAATAATATTGTTGCATGCGTACAGGTTCGTTTGGAATTGAATGCACAAGTCCGATGAAAAATGAATAAGATTTATTATTATCACAAAAACGCTTAAATTTCCTCAGATATTCTTTCAGTATTACAATATATCACAGTAGTTATCTTTTAACTACTGAAACGTTCAACAGAAGTTAATTCAAAACAGCTAAAGAAAGCTAATCCGTGTATTCGCTACAATCAACAAGAGCCGTTTTTTAAACAAACTCTTAAAACAACAACCAACTAACTAAAATAACCCCGAACTGAGAGGTTTACCTCCTTTTATAAGATTTTAAATCGTGCGCGAGAATTTTCTGGAACTTTCTTGAAATCAAAAAGAGATATTAAATGTTAAATGCACATGGTCTTGTATTTTTAATTTTCCGGCTTAGCTTTCTTATAATATTCGTCACGCGCTACACTGCACGGGGAATAAAAAAAATTTAATTTATAATTCAACTAACATTAGCTATTTAAATACAAAATTCTTACAAAATTTTGCACAATCCTGATTGCAAGTTTATACAAGTATCAAAATGAATAACGATTCAAAAGAATTTCTTTCAGAAAATGAAATCAAGCCTGTTTCCTATGGGTCTACTACAGAGTACTACACGGTCAATATAAATGAACTACTTTCTAGAAGAAATAAATGTGCATATAAAGAGATGGATAAGCCCATGATTTATGGAATTTTTACATATAAAATATGACTTAAATCCATGGATTAAATTGTGCCTTTCATTACATTTACATCAATTGCTATAAATACTATCTGCACTATGCCAAATTCACAAGTCTGCATTTTTTGCTGCACATATGACATATAATATGAAAACTATTTAGCAGAAAATAAATGGAAATGTATTTTTACCCTTGATGAAGAACAAGTTTAATGGAGGAAATTCTCTCACAGCAGGAATTTTTTTAAAGTAAACAAAATGCTAAAATCAACTCAATGCAATTGTCAAATTTCATCAAGGCAAAGCAATAAGTCATACTTAAAAAAAAATACCACTGTATTCCTTGAAAATAAAAAAGAAGAATGATACAGGTATTGCATATGTACCTTTTCAGTGTATTCCTACACAGTACCCTGATGGGTTACTGTGTCTCATGTCTCTTGAAAAGAACTAAGTGCAAACCTATCATGACTGATGGACTCTGGAAAGTAGTGCAAGGGAAATGGAAATCAATAACCTCTGGAAATTTATGAAAAGCCCTTGTGTCATGGAAATCATAATGAAGATTTACAGTCCAGAAAAAAAAAAGCTATCAGATCAAATATTAAAAAAATACTCTTTATATTTTAAGCATTAATTAAACTGCCCCAATATAGTTCTAAAAACGTGTAATGAGGGACCCTTTTTTTTTCTTTTTTAAAATTTTTTGTACCACTGCAATTGACTGTGTTTATTTTTAAGTTCACAGTAAGTGTGTTATATATATATATTTTTACATATTATTAAACATCTTAATCTTAAAAAAAAATTCAAGCATTGTTTTATTTTTATATAATCAATTATTAATCTTTGTAATTAAGAAGTGGATTTATTAATATTACAATATAAATAAACTGATGAAAGAGTACTTTAGTTAATTTCTTCACCAGAAGGATAATGCTTTGAAGATGAAAAGTTATTAAATATAATTTCATAATAGCCATTATCAGTCATGTTCTCTGAAATGATTATCTTCATAGAAGACTTAAGTCATTTGAAGCTGTGTGGATGGTCATTTAAATAAATAATAATTTGCATAGGTGAAACCTATGCAAATTATTATTTATTTCTAATTTTAACATTATAAACTGCGTAAAAGTTTGATTTTATTAGAAATCTACAAAAGCTCCAAATAAATGCTTAAAATTTGTACATAAAAATTTCTACTTAATCTATTAATTTTCAATGCAATGAGAAAATAATAAAAAATTTTGAGCATTTAAATAAAATTCAAATAAATATAATACAAAAGGAACAAATATTTACTTTATATTTAATAAAATAATAAGAAAGAATGGATTTAAATTATTTAAAAAATTGCATGCAGAGATACTTCTCAAAATAACCTACTTACATAACTACAACACTAGACACATCTCCAGATGGCTGAAAATTTAGTTGCAAGCTGAAAAGGAAAATAACTAATAGAACAAAATTAAATATAAACAACAAACGTTATTATAAATTTATACACAGTCCAATGCAAAATATTTCTGTACACGTAAAAACATTTTTTCAGTTTATGATAAGACAAAAATGAGACATGTACACAAAGCACAATAAATATAATTTTATCCAATACTTTTATACAAATTCTCTTATACTCAATTATATTCTAACATACTGTATAGTCTTCAGCTATCTGTGAACAACCACCCCGAAATTCTCAGAAATGTTACCTTCTAATGACCACAGTAGCAGTTGGTAAAGCAGAATGTTTCTTTTCATGATTAGTCGAAGGAGAACATTATTTTATTCCTTAGAAAACTGGAATGTGGGAGGTATTTTGTTCAAAATTTCCATGCATTTGTTTATAGATGCAGTGTTACATATTGACTGCCTGTCACTGAACACCTAGATGCATATGAATCCCGGATGACATTCTAAAGGCCTTATTCAATTGAAACATTTAGTGATCATTAGTCATGATATGTCATCAGTTGGAATATTGATTTTGCTGTTTTGGTATTCAACTGAAAGACAATGATCACTCTGAGCTCGTGATCGATCATTCTTGCAGCGATTACTCCGAAACCCATCATTCCGCGGTGAAAACGATCGGATGAATATGGCGGCTATGCTGTTTGTGCTTTCATAAAGATACAATTCAAGTGTACTATGGAAAATCCTTTAGATCTACTGGATGGGCAGCAATTTATATCAAAGTATAGGGTATATAAGGATCCTATCAAGGAAAGCCGACTCATAATCTGTGTTGTATCCAAACTAAGGGCACTAGCTAGTGGACATTGATTTAGCTTTGCGTTGTTGGGAAAAGTGCAGAATCACCCACTGCTTCACATGTTTCTCAAAATCGTCGCCAACTTGAAAATAAAAAGAATTGCCAAACTCGATATCCATGTACACATCAACTTATTTTCACTTCAAAAAAACACCAGAGAATTGTACAAACTTGGCATTGCACACTCCCTTGACTTTGTCCATGTACACATCGATACGCACCATTAAAATGGGTGATTCTGCATCAACTTGTAAATAACAAGTCAAAGAATTATACAAACTCGGTATCCATGTATACATCAATCTATTTTCACTTAAAAAAAATATCAGAGAATTGCACAAACTTGGCATTGCGCACTTCCTTGACTTTGTGAATGCACACATCGATATGTGCCATATAAGTGGGCAATTATTATGCACTTTAACCACGTTGTTTACATTTGTAGAATTGTCACCTAATTCTGAGAAATATGGGTGGATGCATTGCTTCAAATTATTCATATCATTCCAGAAATAACTTTAGTATGTTCTGTTTCTCAAAAAATGAAGTAATACAATGAAAATGGGTAATTTATTCTCGTCTATTGGATGGATTCTGAGCACAGGAGCATGAGCTTTTGAAGTAAGTTCAGCTTCATATGTTTTCATAATTGTTAAAAAAAATAATTGTCCATGTTTCAGCAAAATGTGTATTTTCATTTAAATATTGCTAATTAATGACAAACTGATTTATATCTACAAAATGAATTGCAGAATGTGTCTGACACAGATACTGACATCGATAAGTTGATGACATTGTGAGTTTTTTTTATTGTTATTATCGCGAATGGATAACATTTAAAGAATTATATTTTATATTTGATTTCAATTTTGTGCATGATTATAAGTACGATGTGTGCTTTTTATTTAAATTTTAATGCAGGATTCATGGTTGAAAATCATATGTTATATCTTTACCCTGTTATTTTGTGACCAAATCTGTCAGTTGGTTCCAATGTAAAAAAAATTTAAACATTGGATAATATGATTAAAATTATGCATTATATAATGCTTCCTTTAAAGTAACATAAATATATCATATTTATATTCATTTTGAAGAAGGTAAGCATCAATTTTTTAAGTATTTAATGAATAATTTTTTACTGTATTTTATACATCATGTAGACTATATTTCCAGCTCTTTCATTTAACTGCAATATGTGTCAATTTATTTCCAAGGTATGAAAATGAAATATGCTTTAAAATGCTGTACAAGCTTAGTCACTCATTCTTAACTTAATTCAGTTTTCATAGACAATTGATTTCTTAATGTGGAACTTTCATTTATGATTTACTCGAGATTTCATGAAAGGGGGCTGATCTGCTGTTTGTGTCCTACTAACTTCTTCACATAAGACAGAGTATCTAGCATGGTGCACAGAACATCCTTCTCAAAGCCCACTTCAGCATGCCCAAGTTCTCTTCAATGATAAATCTAGATTTTGCTTAGAAAATGATTCTTGGCATACGTCTAGAGAGAGCCTGGAACTGAATTCAGTTCTTCCAACATCAAGGAAAAGGAGCGCTATGGCAGTGGCCATGTTATGTTTGGGGCAGGCATCATGCTTGGTGGCCACACATCATTCCACACGCTTAATAAAGGTTTCCTTACTACTCAGAACAATACACAGATCTTAGATCCATGATCCATATGTGTGACTTTTCAGGGCACATCTGGCTCTTAAGTTGTACTCACTACTTGAACATTGATGTTGCAACAAACATCTACAGAAGAGCTGAAATGGTGGACAACTATCTTCAGAGGCAGATATTCAATGGATGGATTCACTAACCAAATCTTTGGACCTGAATCTTACAGGACATCACCGCCATGCACTTGGGGGGGGGGCAACCATCATTCACTCACCATCTCTGGCAGCCATCCTGGAGCCAAGATTTGGCATTCACAATAATTCATCAACTGTTTCATTAACAGTATGGTGACCACCTGTCTAGCCTGTGTGCCTGTTAGAGTAACTATAAACCCTAACAGCCTCATTTTCAGCACCAATGGCTTTGAACATTCCTGCTCTCAAAAAAATTACTCATTATCATTGAGTATTTTCACTGCTGTATAGTATAAACTGATCTCCTATAGTATTTTGTAACCATATTAAATTTCTTATTTGGGGTTCCATTATACTTGAGAAATTTTTAAAAAAATATTAATATTTAACATAAGTGCATATTATATATTTGTGTACACTGCTTTGATAGTTTTTAATGCAACAGTTTTTAACAAGAAAGGAACTGCTGTCCTATAGGACAGCAGTTTTTTGTAACCACATCAAATTTCTTATTTTGGGTTCTATCATACTTGAGAAATTAAAAAAAAATAAATATTAATATTGAACATGAGTGCATATTATATATTTGTATACACTACTTTGATAGTTTTTAATGCAACAGTCTTTAAGAAGAAAGGAAACATCCTCAGTGGTGACAAATTCTTCTAAATACATACAATTAGGATTTATAAAAATTTCTTACGTTAATGCTGGAAAATTCATTCTTCAGTATTAAATAAATAACAGACAGCTATAAAACCAAGGTTGATAGTATAGTACTTTCCTAATTAACTCCCCCCCCACACACAAGAAAAGTGCCAAAATATCAGGTAAGAAATCTTAAAACTCCTCACACTTACATGGATGAGTTACCACATTCAGAGCCTTTTGTATCAACAGGAAAAGGCAGCTTAACAGTATCATTTCCAATCTGTAATGTTGCATTCTCAGCATACATAATAATGCATCCAGTAATATTAATAAAACTTGAGTCAGTCTCTTCAATGGCTAGCAAATTTCTGAAAATGTGATGCTCATTGTCTAAGGCACCCTGAAAAAATAAAATTGATAAGATTTATCAAATATACAAGCACATTTTAATATTCCTTATTTTTCTATATTTGAATCTAATTAAACATTCAATAGTTCAAAATTCTAATTAAAAGTTCAATAATTTCAAACCTTTTTATAAATAAAATAGAAAAAGAGGAGATGGCAGATAAACAAAATGACATGAAATTATAAGCATAAAAAAGTTGGTGAATACACACATGAAAGTTAAAAATCATCAAGTGAAACAAAGAACCAATAATAAGAATCAAGCTTTAAAACATATAATTCTAACACGACATTAAACCATTTTTTTTTTGTACATCATTTTTACATCTTTTCATCACTATCTACAACAGATTTTTTTTTTTTTTCCCTTCTTTTTGCAGACACTGCCAGAGACACTGAGATGTCTAGGAGCATCAGATTATGACATCCCCATTTCCATCCATCCAATCGCCCACTACCTCAATAAATCCAGCAAGCGACTTCTCCCAAACATTTATAAACTCTCCTGGATATTGTCAACGAAATTGCTAATAACAGTTACATATCAACACTTGTGAATAAAACACAATTTTTGCATTTTTTTCCCAACTCTTATGTTAAATATTCATTTCTATAAAATAAAAGTGCTAGCTATTGTTTTTGCATATATTTTCTTGCACTTTGCTACTATCATGCATATAAATTGTGAATTTAAATGTTATTGACATTTTTGTAATGATGAGCTTTGAAAAACATGCCGTTCCTTAACTTCTGGAGGACAGTGTATCACACATACTGATAATATTCAGTTTCTTACCCAAAAGGAAGAATTTTGCAAGGGATACTACTAACAATATAGTGCACACAAAGGCATAGCCTCCATTATATTATTTGTTAGTGACAATTATTTACAAAGGAAAATAAAGAAATGCAATAATTTTATCATTTTATCAGTTTAATTTCTAATTTGAAATACAAAATGGAAAACATTACAAATTTTTTGCAACCAACTTTTTTTTAATGTATAAGCTTTTAAATCAGAATTAATTTAAGATTAGAGTCCTTTAACTAATTAATAACATGTAACATTACAACTAATATCTGAAACATTGAAGATCACGAGTCTTATATGGGAAATAACAGAATGCATGCGAGGACTGAAGTGAAAGTCTTTTTTTGGAAAAAATAAATAAATAAAATTTTACAGCGAATGGAAAAAATATATATATAAAATTTACTGTGATCGATTTCGTGGAAAAACATTATCCAACAAACACAGCATGGAAAAAAAAAAAAAAAAAAAAGAGAGAGAATTTTACCAACAGTTGGTGGAAAATGAAATAAAAATCTTAACAACAAAATAATCAATACTTAAATTTCATAACAAATTCATAATTTGAGCCATGTCATAAACTACACTGCAAAGAATGATGAATGCAAATTCTAATAAACATAAACAAATTGTGATAATCATAAATTAAAAATTTACAATTATTTCATCTGAGTGCAATTTTGTTTTTTAAAAAGTTTCAGTTTAAACTCACCCATGAGGACTTCTGAGCTGTAAACACTCCAACAATATTTTTATTGACATTTTGAAATGATGGTCGAAATACCTTTTCAATTTGCCCTGAGATAAAAAGAAAAATACATTAAATTTGAAAAATAGCTAAAATTACCAAGTTTGACATTTTCAATTAGTAATAACAAAAAATATAATTTTACTACATAATTAATTACAATTTTTAGGCTGTTTCCAACTATACAAACAATTTAGCAGTTGCCTGTAATTCTGACAAGAATTGCCGATATAAAAATAATTTCTTTTATATTAGATATAATTTCCATTTAACTAAAACAATAGAAAATATGTTATCTGAAAACTCTTTATTTATTGCATCATAAAGAATTCATTACTTAAAGAACTGTTAAGGAACTCTTCCTAGTATTGACATTAAAAACTTCTCTAGCAATCTTTCCGAAATTTCAAGAGAGTTACATTACATAACCAAGTATTTAATATCTATTGTTTTGGTAAAAGTTATCACTGCAACTTCAACATTGCATGCCACTACACTGTCTTTCACAAATAACTGAAAACCTATAATTCACCAACAAATCCGGATTAAGACCTTCAGAGACCCTAAAGCACTTATAAGATTCTGATGCCCCTATAGGTTTGGGCCAAGTTTTCCCTTCATTCCTTCGCTCTCTCTCTCTCTCTCTAGTTTGGTTTAGCTGAACCATGAATTCCATGGTAAAACCAGCAAATGAAAAGTTTTTGGCCCCATTTTTTTTTTTTTTTGAATACCTAAGGACCTTAAAATATTTGGGACATTGTAACGAATGAAAAGTACCATAAAATATTCGGATGCTAAAACAGATTATTACATTTACTTAAAGAAAGTGAAAATGTATGGATTAAAGGTTTGATTACACGTTTAGAGCTTGGAGACATGAAATCAAGCCAATTATTGCACAAGTTGAGATCAGTTGCTACTACAGATGTGTCTGAAAATGTAATCAAAACAATATAGCTTGAGAAGTTACCTGAATAAAACTACATTATTAGTTACTGATAAAGATGTAACCAAGTTAACATCTATCGCAGACAAAATTAATGATATGAATCAGAAACCAGAAGTTTTTAACGCTAATGCCACTTCCATCCAAGTAAATGATTTGATGTAAAACAATCACCTCTCTTGAACAAAAAATCGATCAAATAACCATTCGATCAAGGCACAGGCACTCGGAGTCACATAATTCCTGTTCACGATCTAGAAGCTGATATCGTAAATGATATGACCCAACTGGCAAATTTTGTTTCTATCACTTTTGATTTGAAGCAAAATGCATGCCAGAGGAATGCCAGCCTCTGTGTGCTGGGATAAACAACAATTCCAAAAACCAGAAAAACTAAAATCTGCAGTAGGTTCAGCGGCAAACTCTTCTGCAGAAAATATGAAGGATTGTTGCAAATTTCATTTATCTGTTCATGACTAAATATCAAATTTGCACTTTCTTATTGATAGTGGAGCTGACATAAGCATAATTCCAGCTATTTTTCAGAATAAATATAAAACTGATTACAAACTGTATACAGCTAACGGCACAGATATCTCTACCCAAGACATAAAAACGCAAACTCTTGATTTGGGATTACGTCGTGATTTTCAGTTTTCATTCAAAATTGCTGATGTCACAAAAGGTATTTGATGATCTGACTTTTTTCACAAATATAACTTTCTCATTGATACAAATAAGAAAAAATTAATGGATTGCGTAATACAACTTGGTGTCCAGTGTGACGTCACTGTTATTTCAAGTGATAACTATGTAACCACATTAAATAAATCCATAAAAATTTTCAATTTACTGTTGAAATATCCTGAAATTTCTAAACCTATCCTTTTTCCTACACAAATTAAACATGGTGTTACACATTTTATTATGACTGATGGTCAACCCATGTACTCAAATGCATGACAGCTCGATCCAAAATGCTTAGCTATAGCTAAAGAGGAATTTAAATTTATGCTTCACAATCAAATAATTCTTCCATCAAACTCCCAATCGTCAAGCCCCTTGCACCTTACGGAAAAGGACGGTTCATACCGACCTTGCGAAGACTACTGTCGACTGAATGCGCAGACCGATACCCAATTCTTCGCATTGAAGATTTTCATCATATTTTAAGAGGTACAAATATTTTTTCTCTAAAATTGATTTATTCAAAGCTTATTTTCAAATTCCCATTGCAGAAGAAGACAAATGTAAAACGGCTATCAACACTTTCCTTTCGGTTTGTACGAATTTAATGTAATGAGTTTCGGTTTAAAAAATGCTCCTGCAACGTTCCAAAGATTTATTCACGAAGTCTTTTAGAGGATTAGAATTCGTTTTTCCCCTATTTAGACGATATACTCATTGCATCCAGTACCCATGAAGAACACGAAAATCACCTTAAATTAGTTTTCGAAAGATTAAATACATTTAGGGTTAAGAATTAATGTTTCAAAATCTGTGTTTGTTTTAGGACTACCTACCTAATTACACCTCCTTTGCCAGAAAGAGTTCAAGCTATTACTAACTACAAACAATGAGAAACAATTCATGAACTTAGAACTTTTCTTGGAATACTTAACTTTTATCGTTGTTACCTAAAAGGATGCAGCGAAGAATCAAGCATTGTTACGTGAGTATCTTAAGGGAGCTAAAAAGAAGGGACAAACATAAAAAACAGTTTGAAAAGTGCAAGAATGACTTGGTGAACATTGCACTGTTCTCTTTTCCCAATTCTAAACTACCTCCGGCTTTATTTACAGATGCTTCAGATACGGTGATTGGCTCAGTGTTGCAACAATATGGAAACTCATCTTGGAAAACAAATAATTAATAATTTATTTGTTTAATTTAAAAAAAAAATGTTGTGAATGCAAATCCATTAACAGTATTTTTTTCTAAAAAATTAAATGATACTCAACAAAAATATAGCATCTATAATAGAGAACTGTTAAGCATATATCCTTCAGTTAGACACTTCAAGCCTCCTTAGAAGGAAGTGTATTTACAATTTATACAGATCATAAACCCTTAATGGAACTGCTCTTATATGTGCCCTCAGGTTGCCAAATTTCTCGCCAAACATTTCTGGCCAGAAACTCCACGCTGCCATATTACTACCTAAATTTTTTTGTCTACATTTCGAATTTTAATCCTAGAATGTTTCCAAAAACAAGTTTTTAGCACATGCAAAAACCATGTTTTGAAGACGCAATTTAAGCTAAAAATCCGAAACAAAAACAAAAAATTTAGATACCTAAAACGTAAAGTTTCTAACCAAAAATATTTTACAAGAATCCATGTACAGCGATACATTTTAACTTGAAAAAAATCTACGAATTGCACATTCTAGGCAGCGAAGGAATCTGCGAACTACGTACACCTCACTTCAATAAATTAACATAACAACAATAATTTCAAAGAATACCATGTACACAGCATTTTGTTTAAACATTTAAAAAAATCTACGAACTGCACAATCTAGGCATTGCGCACAAATCAACCAAATAAACTAAACTAAATTACAAGCAATTCAAAAAACAACAATAACAACAGAAATTCATATTAAAAAACAATGAACATAACATTCTACAAAATAAAAACAGTAAAATAAAATGCACTTACCATAATACATTCCTGAATAAAATTTTGCCAGTCACACAATGTCTCTGAACAAAAGTGCCACGATTTTGCTATATCACATATCTTTCTGAAATTCAAAATTTTGAAAGTAACGATAAAAACTTCTTCCAGAGTTAACATACTACACGAAAACCACAATCGAAATCTTAAACTCCGTTGAAAGCCACATACTTTTAACAACCATTTAACTGCAAATCCACACAAAAACTATCAGAAACGCCCTTCTTCGTCAGAGTTCTCATAGCAGCTCCACATTTCGGACTCCATTTCAAAAGTCTCACAGAAATTCCAAAAACACTTTTCAATCCTCATAAACACACCCGTGAACAAAAGACTCATTAACAACTCCAACATTGTACCTTTTAATACTAAATTTACTTTCCCCACAATCTAAATCATGTGACTGAAATCTTGCCACCACGTCTATCATTGCAACATAGGCCATTTCAAAATACACATGACATGAACCAACGAGCAATTAAACCGCTTCAGCAAAAGATTTTTCAACGTCAACAGGGTTGCCATACAACACACAATCATGCCAAAAACCAGCGCAGAATACATATCGCCACATTTGGTGAAATTAGGGTGCATATAAAAGTAGAGCCCCCTTAATATTTGCCTTTCATCAAAAACTTGTCAAAGCAGCACTTAGACAATCTCACCAACTTCATTATATCTTCCAGTTTTAATATGTAAAAGGTGAGAATAATATTGTAGCTAATACGGTAATGAAATTCCATCGAGAGAGTATGATAAAATAGCTGATGAAGAGACTCAAGAGTTTGCAAACCACTACTTCCTCGAATTTAAGGCAATGTTCTCTACCTTCAGTACCTTCAGGGAGATATTTGTGATGTGATACATCAACTAAAAATACTTGGTCCTATACTCCTCAAGCTTTCAGAAAACAAGTCTTTCAGCAAATTTCTGGTTTATCACATCCAGAATAAAATCAACTATAAAGCTAATGACATCAAAATTCATTTGGTCTAATATTAAGAAAGATGTACAATTATGGACAAGAACCTGCATTCCTTACCAAACAGCTAAAATCAGGCAGCATACCAAAACAAAATTAAGTGAGTCTGAAGTACCCCACAACGAAGATTTTCTGTAATCCATATCGATCTCATAGCACCACTTCCTGCCATCTAAAGGGAATATTTAATGTCTTACATGCATAGAAAGATTTTCAAATGGATGGAAGTAATTCCTTTAGATAATATTTCAGATGAGAAAGTTGCAAGAGTCCTTTATAGCAACTGGATTCTGTGTTTCGGAGCACCAAGCAAACTCATTAGTGATCATAGATCCCAATTTAAATGTGACACATTACGAGCTTTGTCCAAAATCTGAGACATCAATTTACAATACATTACTGCCTACCATTCCTCATGTAATGGCAAAGTTGAGCACCTT